CCCCCCAATCCCACTTCTATGAAATGCCTTTCCTTTGAAGTTCTTGGGAAGAACCTACTGTAGGACCCCCTCGAGCAAGCCTAGGCACTTTATAGAGCAATCCTATTTATTTTAATGTTTGAAGCAGGTGGACACTCCAGCGATCTCCACTGCAGTCTTGGTGCTGTTTGGTAAAGAAGTTCACATCTTTTTTCTTTCTGCTGTGCAGCTCAAAGATCTGTCACATGTGGAAATATTCTTGGATATCTTATCCCCTGTGTCTGAGAATATTGACTTTTATCTTATCATATCTTGTCTATTCTTGTCTAATATGTGATTGGCTATGATTGGCTTACGTAGCGCACGTAGTGAAAGTTATTCTCATTGGGCATTCAGCGGGCTGCATGACACGCACGCGCAGCTCTCTATAAAATGATATTTCAGATCTTATATATATATACTTGACATCCAGACCCCCTCACCCGGGATAGCTTCACCCAATGTTGCAAATAATTTTGTGTACAGTACAATTTACTGGTGAACCTCGCATCTCTTGTCGTAATTAACACAAAGAAACGCGTGCCTCATAACGAAGACATGGTCCCGACGTAAATGGAGCACGTTGGTTCAACCTCCAAGCCACTGCCGTAGTTCTAGTTCCCGGACCCTCCTACCTAGATCCTGCTGTTGGTGTGCCCTTCCTGGAGATCCACCAGTAGTGTCAGTGCAAGGTAGCCCTAAGGTGACCCGGAAAGGAAGGTGCTGGATAGGTTGCAACTATTGTTACATCAAAGAGTTGGGTTCATTGTCTTCTCTCCAACAGCTGGGCTACTTCTTGGTGACCAGTGTGAGCTGCCGCAATCAAAGCTATATTGCACCATTGTGCGATGCAATACCTATGTCAGTGCCAGCTTCTAGCAAAGTTTGCACCACTTCCAAGCGACCATTCACAGCTGCCACAATCAAAGCTGTGTGCCCATGTTGATCATTTTGTGCTGCAGCATCTATGCTAGCGCCAGCTTCCAGCAAGATTCGCCGACTCAGGGTTCCAACAGTTGATCAAATTTATCCCTGGACGATGCCATGTCAAGTATCACTATCGTCAATTATCATACCGCGGGGCTTAGAGATTATCAGGTGTGGGATCTCTCCGTCGATCGAGGTCCACGGTCCATGGTCCATCATACAGTTTTACAATTTTCTTGTGTGGGAGGTGGTCGCCTAGACTACTGTAAATCCCTTCGCTAGGCCGTCTGATCTTGCGAGTAGTCAGTCGTGTCAGAGGGCGGCAAGTAACGGCAAGTACAACAAACCAACAGCAGGGACCCAAGACTCTCTCCTTTTTGACGTGTCAGGTAGATCCATTGTTTTTGTTGACTTCTTTTACCTCGTTTCATTGATTCCCCTCACCACTTTCAACACCCCGACAGCCAACGTCCCGACAGCCCTACCAAAGATAACACTCCGACAGCCCGACCCTACTGTGGCGCCCGGACGTTGAAGATCCTTCTCCCAAAGCATTTCAATGCTGGTGCCTACCCCATACACTCCATGGGACTGCCATATATGCCGCCCCAGACAGACCCCCCCCCTGGCACCACGTCACCCCTGGCCTGATGCGGCATATATGGCAGTCCCATGGAGCGTCTGGGTACCGTGTCAAGCACCGCATCCGATTCATCCAAACGCGGAGGAGTCAGCACGACGCACGACGTCTTTAGGGGACGTTGGGACAGATTCTGTGAGGATGTTTCAGGATGTTTCTTGGTATCTTTTTCGGTGAGGAAAGGAGGGTCTTGGGTGGAAGATGGAACCATCAATGAGAGTACCTTTGGAACCACCGCCATATGCCAGATGCCTTTTCATGTTGCTTTGCCCAGGAGTAAGCGAACCAACCAGTAAACCCTCCAGCAAACTCCATAAGCGTTCGATTAAAAGACAAACGTTTACAAACGTTCTTTCGACCCCAGCGTTCGATCCATCGCCATAGAGACTCCCATAGGGTCTTGACTCGTATGGAAAGTCCTGTCCCACACGACGATCGTGCACGTTCGAAGTCTTCGTCGTTGGCTGTCAACCCCTACGGCCTCGAAGCTCTTCTAATGCCTGGCACTTGCTTTGATGCTGTGCCCGCAACTCCTGCTGGTCGGCCGGTCACGCCGGCGTGCGGATGCTTTCGGGTGTCAACATGTCGAACCTGGCACGAGTTGATCTCCGAGAAGTGGCAAGTTCTTCTCAGCTCCACGCTTCGGGAGTGAAATGCTCATCGTGTTTGTTGTGTTCTATGTTCCTTTGTGCGGGAGACCTTTGACCTTCTACGAATGTCCAAATGGCCAGGGAGGTGCGAGTTGGAGACAAATCTGGAGATTTATGCGGAGGGTGCCTATAAGGAAGGCGTTACGACGTTGCCGCATGCGCTCCATCGGATGCCTATAAAGAAGGTACATTGGCATGTATACATGACATATCTGACCCAGTCACCTTTAGAAAGTACCCTTCTATGGCCACTTTGCAACGGCCCACGCTTTTGTGTGTCACAACAAAAAAAGAAACATCCTCTACCGAGAGATGTTCACTAAGACACCCCCGATGTTTGATTGGCAGTGCGTGGAACTGTGGAACGTCCCATCTTATTCAATCTTATTCAGTCTTCTGCAAGCCGGATGCGCCTCCACCTTGTTCTCTGTCAAAGACCACATCTTCATGGAGAGCAAATACTTGAAGCCTTCTGGACCCGCTTCTTCCTGTCAAGCCAGGGATGTTGGACATCAAAAACGGCACAAACAGTAGCCATCAGCTGGGCATTGTTCGACCCATGTGAGGTTTTGACAACTGGGAGGGTGTTGCATCGGAGGCATGGCGGCGGCTTACGAAGCCGTGGCCGCTGCTTCAGGCCGCAGCCCATGTGATAGACTGAGGCAGGCCTCAGCCCAAGAATTACACTCCCTGGAACTAACATGGAAGTGGAAACCATGACCATGACCATGACCATGGAAGTGGAAATGATCCTCTGGTTGTAGAGGATAGGATAGACCATGACCATGTCCGCGAGACGCTCACGTCTTGTCCACCGGATAAGGGTGGAGACCGCAAGTGGGTGCCCTGGTCTTCACGAGCCGCTACTTACCCCGGCCTTCCGGTCGACTCGGAAAGCATCCGTGTCGATCTCAACAAGTGTTGCACACCAAGAGAAGCTTGCAAAGAAGCATCCGTCTTCCACCGTCACCCGCCGCTGGAAACCGTTTTCGTCGCCCATCGCGGGGCATTGCAGTTGGGTGGGGCATTAGCATGTGAGGATGCCCGACTTGGTGCCTTCACATGGGATAAAATCATTGGGCCAATACAGTTGATCGCAAACTTTTGCACCACTGGCAATTGCTTATCAATGCTCTACAAAACAATCCAAAATTTAAAATGCATTCAAAACCCTTGTATGACATTATAAGAAGCAAGTCTGCATGGTTCAATTCCAATAAGATCCAAGAAGTGTAGCAGTGTAGCATTTGTCGATCCACTGTGTGATCTCATTGAGGACCCCAAATCACCACTGTTGAGTGACATCAATCAAGAGAAGGCGAGAGGTGACAGTGGCTGAAGAGATGGGCGTATGTGGCAAGGTATCTCCTGATCAAAGAGTGGTGATTTGTCGTCCTTCATTTGGGGAAGCTCTCAAAGGTCTTCCCAATGTGTGCTCTCCAATGTACAAGCCATGCAGCCGGGGGGGTCGAACTCCTGCACTTTGGCATGGCAAAGGGGTCATGGCATGGCGTCCGGCATCTCTCGGCTCTCATCATCAGCAAAGGAGGCCCAATCTTTAGTAACCTAATGGCAAAAGGAACCTCATATATAGCAATGGCCTCCAACCTACTAGCAATGACCTCCAACCTGATTGTTTTTAATATGGTCATTAGATGTAATTAGCCTTGGATATGAATATGTTTGATCCTCTTTCCTCTGCAGTCCGACGGTTCCTTGGGGAGCCATCGCCAGGCCTTGGGCATCAGCAATGCCACCAGCTGAAGATCTCTTGCATCCCACAGTTGAAGAGATATACTGTATACACTGTAAGCCGTCAAATGCTTGATCCTCTAAAAAACGGACTCTTTTGTTCAGAGTTTGCAAAAAGATCATCCATCGCCCCATAAACATAGGTAAAAACACCGAGCCGAGCCGGTCTAGATTCGGGGGCCCGAACCGAGTTCGAGGCCCAAGTCTGGGCGGCGCCGCCAAAACACCAGGATGGCTGGTCCCCAGCTGGGCATCAAAGTTCCTCGTGCAACCGGGGCAAAGGCCTCACGAAGTGACCTCAATGGCACGGAGCAAAAAGCCAGCCATGCTGGTTGGCTTGCTTAGGTGGTTTTTGGTTGGTCCAATGGCTATGGCCCTGGCTATGATGTCATGCTAGATTGCAGAATGGCACATGTTCGTGAAGCTGACTGTCTTCTTTCAAGTGCCCTCCGAAACCGACCCTTTCCATAAATGGTATGTACCATGCATATCATACAGTATGGGGTGGGATCGGTATGTTGGCTGCAACAAAGGCAGCAGGTCATTGAAATCGCGTCTTGAACCGCGATGATATTAAAAACCAAATCTTCAACATCAGTCAATGCAGTAAATCGTAAATCTATTGAGAGTGTCTTCGTTCGTGACCGAGACAGGGGGTTCAGGCTTCGGGTTTCGACCCACAGCCCAACTGGAGGTCCACAGGTTTGTCGCCATGGAAGGTCTGGACGTCTCTGAGTCCACTTGGTCTGGACGTCTCGCTGGACCGGGACCTGTCCAAATCTGTACTTCTCACCGATCCACCAATTACTCCTTCACGAATGTAAGTGAAGCAACGTGAAGAAATTCACAAGCCGATGGCCCCCCTTTCCTCTGGCCGCCACAGGCGAACCCGAGAGGTCGACAGGTCTGAGATCAAAACCGACCACCGACAGGGAGCAATACGGAAGAGATCCAACCCTAGGGCTGCAACCATATCCTCAGAAGGTTGTTAGACCCCCCTGGCACCCACCCCAACCATCTTCTCAGGAGGTGGTTGGAGCCCTAGGGCATCATCGGCGTTTCGATGATCCGAACCTGATCCACCGCCTCCGCGCCCGTTCGCCCCATCGAACAGAAGCGTGCTGAACGAAACCGTCGCAGAACGGGGGCTCATAGATTCGGTCCACCCGCGGGGACAGCCAAGGACCTCCAACGGATACAGCTAATCCATGAACCGATTTGTAATACATCTCATGGAAATCAAATCAAAAAAGCAAAAGAAGGCACACCAGACATCCAAGAAACAAAACACATCAACCTATCAGGCGTCAATCAAGAACAAAAGGAATTCGAAGGTGAAGAACATGGAAGAAACCAGCACCATGCAAAATACCCGATGCCCAACGAAGAAATGCCATACCCATCCAGAACGAACTTATGTTTTTTCCATGCCAAAAACATCAACAAGCACTAACAAATCACTATATCCATACCCTTAAAAGAACTGACCTGGAAGCCCCTCTCCCCTCTTCTCTTCCAAGGTCTCGGGCCCTTTCGGCCCTCCACAGCCTCGAAGGTCGGCAGCGGGGCCCGGGGCGTCGGTTTCCCAAACACGAGGCCCTGGAGATCCCTGGAGATCCCTGGAGGCTCTAGGGCCCTAGGCTGTCTTGAGGTCGGTCGACCACGGTGGGTCGGGCACAACAAGGTCCAGGACCGGGGAGGATGGAGGGGGCCTGAGGGGGGTGGAGGATTGAGTCATATCATCAAGTCAAGTCTGGACGGAGGATCTTTCAAAAACGCCAGGAAAGGAGAATGAAAAAGAGGATTCAAGTGGATTCAATCTAGAGACGTCAACATGAAGGGGTCAGATCGTCTGAACCGCATTTCCTCCTCCTGTCCATGATGCAGGGTCCATTGTCGTTTCGAGTGCATAAAGGAGGGTTGGCACCGGAAACGGATTGCGCGGAAGGGGAATGAAGGGGAGTCCCCTGCAATCCGCAAAGGAAGCTCAGTGTTTAGGGATGTTTTGGGGAGTAGCCAAAGCCAACATGATCCAAAATGAACCACCAAGAAAGGAAACTCCACTTCAAAACATGGTTCAAGTCATGAAACGACTTGGGATACTAGACTGCAGATTGGTCGCAAAAACCTTGCAGGCAGCATTGTTCGCCAGTTGATGGTTCTCCGGACTCGCTTTTTGCTCACAGAAACGACCGAACATTCTCGTTCCGAACAAAGAACACATCGCGATCATTGACTGATGCAACAATTGGTGTACAACACGAGCTGACGTTCTTCTTGGTCGAACAATAATTTCACAAAAAGGCACAAAAAGTATTCCGTGGCGCCTCCAATCCAAAGCCTTCATATGATTAAATTTGTTGCAGTAACCATGTTCTGGAAGATGTTTTGGGGGTGCCCAGCTTGGTGCCCCTTGCCGTCCAGCAAAAAAACATCGTTCCGGTCCCCCCGCAGAGCACACTGGACGTCGATCTGATCGACACGCTGAGCCTGGCGAAGCATGATCTCGTCCAAAAGCTCACTCAAGGTATCCATGCGCTCGCGGAGGACACGCAGTTGCCCATCCACCTGTAACGCCATTTTCGGTATGGGGTACCCAATGGCAAGGTGCTCAACCATACAAGCAGGATGCAAGTGGGACATCAGTACTTCTTTCATCTTCTTTCTAGCCTAATATACTAATGCATCCCGATCAACATTCACTAGGAGGGGTTGTGTCAGTCATTTTATAGATATATATGTAATTTGGCGGGCACCACCTGAAACACCATAGAATGAAGAGGTACCGAAGAAACATGCACTCTATAAATTGAGTGTGACTCTGATAACATCAGTCGAGCACCATGCTAACAACCAAGATAAGCACGCTCAAAATGGTCCTCTATAACATGATTTTCTGAGGATCCTTATGTTTTGGGTCAGGAATTAAGAACACAAAAAACAATTCATAGAGGAGATGTCCTGTGATCCATACATGTAGATTGAAAACATGGAAAACATTTTATAGAGGGGATTTGGATTAATAGTTTAAACATAAAAACCTCTTATAGAGGACCATTCCAGTCCCAAAAGAATTCTGGAAGAACCAGGCACGCAATTTGGTACAGAGAGGATGGGGAAATACGAAAGCTCTAGAACATGACTATGAATGTGCTTCACCTGTTTTTGTTCACTGCAAAATCAGATGCACAGCCATTCTGTAATATATGTTTAGGAAAAGAGATCAATCAACGTGTTTATAATTACTTCTCTAGAGAATGTGTGTGTCTTCGCCATGAATGCGCACTCAGGGAAAGGGACCAAGAATTTGCCAATCGCCACTACCTTCCACTTGAGGACAGCAGCTGCACATACTCCCCACAACAATTCACGGATTCACTCAGTTTTAAGCAACACCAAAGTCATTCGTACTTCGCTCGAGCCTCGAGTGCAGCGGTGGTCGAACCCAGCCATGGAGCCCCGTCTCCGGAGGTGCGACGGGCGCTGGCGCGCGGGCCGCACCTCCTGCAGCAGCTCCTCGCGACGTTGCACCCCGAAGCTCCGTAGCTGGTCGAAGAGCTCCATCTGCACCGCCTCCCAAAACGAGCGAATGGGCAGCAGGGACCTCCATCTGCTCCATCCCTCGACCTCGCTGTGGTGGCAGCAGGGCTTTGGATTCCGCAGCTGTTTTGGGAGAACGTGGTCGATTGGAGACTGGAGACTGGGCGGCCGAACGGTGACCGTCACATTGAACGGTGACCGTTTGACCGTTCGGACGGAGATGGAGATGGATCGGATGGTGAGAGTGCTGAGGTTCCCCTTAGATCAGAAGGTGGGTGGAAAATGGTTATAGTTCTGTTTGGCAGGGAGGGGAAGCAAGAACTATACATGAAAGTTATTGAAAGTTGCTGAAACTGGGGAAGAGAAGTGGCTGGGGAAGAGAAGTTCTCTAGGTTTAGGGGATGTGGCCCACACCTCCTTGAGGAACACTACGGACCGGGAGACATGAAGAATTTCCCTCTCCAAAGGCCTGTCTGAATGACCTATTTGGAGTTTTGAAGTAAAGACTGGCCACTGGAAAACAACTACAATGCCGGGATGTCCTGGATCAATGAGAAGCTGTGACTTTTGGATGTTTGGCGCCCATTGTGAGCACGTCGGATGTTTGGCTGAGGGTGTTTGAAAGGACAAACCAGTCCTCCAACAAGGTCCTGACAGACGACCCGGCACTGGGGTCTGCTGCTCAAATGCATGGAAACCCACAGGTCGTCAAGGTGATTGCTCCAGCCGTCGTTGCTGCATTCATGCACACATAGCACACGTATACATATTAAAGATCTCAACAATCTTGATACCAGGAGTCACAAAGGGGTAGTGGTTAGTCCCCAAGTGAGTGGATAATGGGCACCACTCACCTCCATCAAGCACCCCTTTGTGACTGCTGGTACGTTGATCTTCATAGACTTGTAGCATTCAAACCTCTCAAGACTTTCCCCCTGTGGCCTCCAAGCGCTCTGCAAAGCTTTTGAAGCGCTGCTCATGTGCCTGCGGATGAAAGGGCCATCCTCCAAACTGGTTTCAATGGCACAAAATCCCCAAGGCCCCTGGATTGTATGAAAATACAGATTTGTGTTGGATCAAGATCCAGCTTTATGGTGACAAACTTGATATGGGATTGTATGAAAATACGGAGACAACCCTGGCCCTAAGTGGGGAGTGGTTCCTTTTGCTCTTGAAAATCTTTCCGGTGGGCCCTTTCTTCCTTCACATCCAGAACGATCTGGACTCCCAGACCCGTCTTGGCACACACCGACATCCGAACCTCGATCGGGTTGCGCCAGAATGTAACCGAACTCCTGTGAATCAGCAGCTTCTTCACTTTGTGGATATGATGAATGTTTGAATATGAGCCAATCCCGACCTATGGATGCTCATTTCCCTACTGAGTCCTTACTGTTTATAAGACCCTGAGATCGTGTGAGACAGCCCAAGAAGCCGGGGTTGGCCTGGCACTTTGTTCAAGTGCCAAACCGTCTTTCCTCCAGCTTGTAGTTTGTTTGATTTCGCTTGTCAACTCTCCTTCAGCATGGAACACGACCCATCGGCGCCTGGCTGTTACAACATGCTACAACTAAAGATCACCCAAAGGGCACCAGGACCAGAAAAAGGCCGTGAAGACTGCCTGCAACCCCTGTAGGCTTGCCAGATGGACGAGGACGTAGCCAGTGGACGTGCGGCGGTGGGCTGGAATCGAAAAGAGTGCCCGGTGGTTTGGGTGGAGGCTGTGTGTCGTGAAAGATGTTGTTTTTTGGATTTGATTTGCATGTCATACTTGTAGAAGTAGCCATGCTGCGCATGATCGTCCTGAGTCGACTGACGCTCAAGAATGAGCGTCAAAAGGTTACATGTACAGATTGGTAACATAGTTGAATACCAAACACCAGTTTTGTTCTAAAACACCTATGTTCTTAGTCCAATCAAACAAAGAGAAGGTAGTCGGAGGTAGTAGGTATATCAAGGCCTACCCCTGCAGTTCTTCCCCCTCGACGCGTCTCCGGACATCGACGCCGTCTCCGCTGCCCGGGGGGGGTCCAGTCGCCGCTCGTCGCGCCTCCACATGGACCTTTTGCGCTGCCAACCGCGCATCCAAGTCGTCGCAGCGCTGGAGCAGCCGACTGGTGGGAGACCGGGCGGAGACCGGACGAGGCCGGCGACCTCGACTGGAGACCGGAATGGGGACAAGGGTGCGGACGAGGGTGGGACGAATTCGGGTCACTTGAAGAAAAATAAGAACACCAGTGACTCTTAACTCTTGATGAAGAAAACCCCCTTATGCAGATGTAGAATCATTCTGGTAGGTAGGGTTTTGTCATCCTAAACTTTCTAGAAGGATCTATATACATGACCTGGACTTGGAGGTCCCTCTTTTGGGGTGACATCCCCACATATCCCCACCACTTTGTTTGCAAAAACGTCCAGACCTGTGACTCTGTTCTTCCATGGACAGAGAAAGAGCCACCGGGATGATGGGAAGCTAGATGAAACCAAATGGATGCCACCCTGTTGGACTACACATCCCCTTTTGGCACAAATCACCTATACAATCATATAGATACACGTACATACGCATATATGATCATACATGCATCAAAGGATATCCAAGGGGTCTTGCACTGAAGCAAGTCTGTTTTGCATTTGTGCCAAGAATGTCAAAAGGGCCACCATAATATCCCACCACTCTCCGACCCATCTGCAGACCCTTTGAAGTTGTTGAAGTGAAAAGAGTTCTGCTTAAGCTTACTCCGCCTGGTTCAGCCAACCGGATCACTCAAGTGGGTCGCCTGTCATCTCGGGGTGCAGCCCTTGGCTCTGACACGGTAGCCCTAGCCTAGGCGAGACAGAAAAGGCGCAAAGCAGCTGGCCCATCGAGAGGCTGCACCCAAAGCTATGACTCTTTCTTGTAGCCATCTAAAATCTAAACACTTCTACTTGGAATCCCTTACTTCCTCCCTCATTACGTCCTCATGGAAGAGTTCGCCCAACAAAAATCCAAAATGACTCCTTCAGGCACATGAAAACTGATCGAACAAGTTTCGCGCATGTCTCAGGTGTTCTGGCAGTTCTGAAGTCCAGTTGAGTTGGTCGATTAATGGTTGGGATCTGTCACCGAAGACAGAAACCGACTCAAGTACCATGAACACTGATATCCTTTGTGGCTTGTACGTCGTACATTGATTCGATATGAAAGGTTGTATTTTAATGGTTTTCCAAAATAGTGATCCCAACAAAAAAACAAAGAAATAGTAAGATGTAAGAATCAATAGACCATTGGATTTCTCTATCGCGCTGCAAAGATGCGCATGTTCAAACATTGGCAATGAAGAACGACCGTAAGCCTTGAACTTTTTAAAATAAAAGTATATAGAAGGCCCAAAGCACAAATAAATTCCCTCGTCAAACAGTTGTTGAGTGAGCATTCATTAGTCTATGGTTGTCTAGACTGTCTATACCAAAATACTCCAGCTCCTTGAATCCCCACGTTCACGCCGAATGCAGCTGGAGCACAAGTCGCTCCTCAACTGCCTTAACATGGCAGCCGGATCATCTGGGAACCAATGTATAACTTATTAACTTATTAATAATTGTGTGGATACATGTGGTAAACATGGATGGTCTATGCTGGTCTGCAAAGGCCTCCATATGTATCCCTACAGTATGTTCTTTGTCTGGGGGATAAGGTTGCTAGATTTGGCAGCCAACACAAACCCAGCGGCATCACTCTTCTGTGGTGAAGCTCATGCTTTAAAGACCGGACGTCGAACATGATTGCATGCTTCTGACTCTTTGCCATCTCCACTTCAGTCTACAGGATAGAGACCCGATGGAGACCCAGCCCACCAAGAAGCATCAAGAAACCAAAGCAGGATTCTGGACACTTTCTGAGTCATGTAGACTGATGAATAAAGCTACCCATCATATGGAGAATTCTACAGATGATATGACACAATCCAAGAGAAACAGCTTCACTGCTCCCTCCCTGCCCACCCCGCCACGTCGCTTCTCCACCCGGGCGAGCCGCCTCCACGAGTTCCTCGCGGGTGTGGGCGATGGCCTCTGAGCGGCGGCGGAGGCCATCGCACTCCACCTGGGAGGAGCCACAGTCGATGAGCTCGCTCGGGAGCCACGGAAAGGAACAGGTTTGGCTCACAAAGACGTGGCATGGGTGGGTCATTTCGGGGGTCCCCAAAAGAAAGTTAACTAAGTACTTGTATACTTGTATACTTGTACTATCTTGTACTAATTAAGTTACAAAAAGTTAACTAACATAATTGAAGGGGATGTTGAATGAGTTCGTTTGGAAGGGATGTTACCACCTTCAGGGAGCTTTCTGACCTGTTTGTGTGGATTGGATCTTGCCACCGTTAGCGAGCTCTTGGACCTGTTTGGTTGACCTGACACAGGGAAATCGTCAAGCAATTCTCTGAGAAAAAACCAATGGATGCGTCAGGACTGCTTACTTCGCCCTTTCAAACTGAGCTGCAAATGATGTGCGTGTGTGTCCTAAACTATCAACGAAACTCGATTTGGCCACTTGGATGGCCATGGCTATCGGGGCGCCCTTCGACGACACTACTACATACATAATTACTCCATCGCAGGTCCGACCCGTCCGCTCCAAAGGGAACCTCCCCGCCCAGACCGGCACGTTCCATCTTCCCCGCGCCATCCGCCCCGCCCAGACCAGCGCCATCCACCCCCGGACCTGGAGGCGAGCGACTTGAACCTGGAGATGCAGGGAGAGAGAGACGGCCAAGGGCATCAAGAACCGAACTGAGCGATCGGTTCGCAAGCGAACGTAGGAGCCATCTGGCATTGCGAACGTAGCATTCTTAGCTGCTAGGAACTAAGGGCATTACTACTAGGAGCAAGAAGCTTTAGCATCTATTAGCCCCTGGCCTGAAAGAGGCTACGGCCGGGCAGTCGGACAGTGGAATGGTCGGACAGTGGCGGATGAGCAGGTGGAGCAGGTGGAGCAGGGTGGGCTCGAGGTTTTGACCCATCCCCAACCGTATAAGAGCCTGACCGTGGCATAATAGAAGCCTCTGAAAGGCTACTACATCCTTTCCCACACCCTTCCCAGGAAAACAGTGCCATGATCTCCTTTGCAAAACGGTGCCATGAGGTGTGCATAGGGTACCACAGGTACCATATCATATGGCTTGTTCACGTCGATAGGATATCCCCTTTCCTCTATTCATCCACCAACCAAGGGTCCCAAAGGCCATTGGACCATGGATGGAAAACCGTCCAGACCTCCACCCAGACTCCTGGACCGCTTCTATATATGTATATATATTGTTTAGAAAGCTACAGTAAGTTGTATCCATTCTGTTTCTGTCAGTTCATTCGGGTTTCGCCCCTGACTGACTGTACCCAATTATATATAGGACCTATATTATGAGTTCTTTGAGGGAGGACATAGCCAATCCTCTCACCCCGACCAGCGCGACCAGGGAGGCACCTCAACAGCCACCTGTTGCTCATTCACCTGCCGCTCCAAGTTCAACAGGGCACCTGGCAAACAAACACCCACGCCCGGCTCCGGAGCCGAAAACAGCAGATTTGGAACCCGTCAGCGAATAAATCTGTAAGTCATTGAATACCACTCAGAACCCAACAACTTCAAATCACGATAAGTCCAATCTGGCTGGGCGGCAAGCCGGCAAGCCCAGCCAATCTGGTTTTCTGTTCTTTTGGGATGTAGACGGACACGTCAACACAATACACCCTGGAAGACGATCCCATGGAACCTGACAACCCCTGGTTGGTAGAGGAAAATCGTCTTCCATGGGACCACCATTGTCAGGGTTTCTGTGAGTTGACTCGGGAGTGTACATGTTTCCCGCAGATCGAAACAAGGTCGGCCCTTGAGAGTTCGTTCAATGACTGCTTCAAACGCAGCGGCCCTGAAAAACCGGATCAAGTGGCCGAAAGCGCCACGGCGTTCATATTCGTTGAGTCATGGTGGAATGGTTAAGGCTTTTTTGTCAATCCTATGTTTGACATGCTTTCACAGGTCTGCAGTTGTAAGAATGCAGCGCGCCAGCGAGCCCACCGTGCGAAGAAGTTTGAAGACTCTTCCTTGAACCAAGATGGATGTTGAAAAACACCTGTTTTGTAGAGGAAAAGTGTCTTTCAAGAGGGCATTTTCCACTTCCATGTCTTTTCCAGGGAGTGTATTCCTGAAACACTTGCCCAGCTGCCACATTCTACAGAGCCCGCTAATACGACCTTCATCCGTGCTTCAGCCGTGGATCCTCCAAAAATACATCGGATGCTGCCGGGCCAGCGGCATGCATCCCACGGTCGTGAGGGCTGTGATTCAAAAGGCAACCCGGCTTCACCGGTTTTTCTGCTTCCACATCGGACCCGCATGGGAAGACACATATTTTGCAAACCATGCGGATCAATCTCCATCGTCACTGTCACATCACCTTGCGAATGTCTCCATCGTCTCCGGTCCGCCCGGTCCCTCCGATCCCTGGGTCCGAGGAACCACGGAAGACCCCATGAAAACCGGTGACGCATGAACGTCGTCCATGGACTTTTGCCTACTTTCAGGAACTGGGCCGCCATGGCCGCCATGTGCGCTACGAACGGGGCGAACCTGGCCTTACTACGAACGGAGCGTTCGGACAAAACGAACGGGGCTCCTGGCATCGCTACGAAGGGAGAATTCTTACTACGTTCGTAACTAGAAGCTACTAGGGGTTCCTGGCATCGCTACGAACGGAGCAAGAAGCTACTAGGTTCTTCTAGGGGTTCCTGGAGCGCCCGCGCCATCGCCGGAAAGCGCCTTCCAGTTGGCTGTACTGCGGGCCATGGTGGGTGAGTGCCTGGTCCGAAGTCAGTGCCATGAAGGTCCAAGCATTTGAAGGTCAAGGTCCAAGCATTGGAAGATTCAAGCCAGTTGGGTTTAAGTCACATCACTGGGCTTTCGAGTCGTCACATCACTGCATGGCACAGAGGCACAGATACGCCGAAGTCACACCAGGGAAGTAAGTCCCCATGAGTCCCATGTAAACCCTCATGACACGACGCGACGCCCAAGTAAGTCTTTACAAAGAAAACCCGTTGGTAAAAACCTTAGCCGTCTTAGTGTGGAACTTGCTGTCTATGTCGTAGGTGTTGTAAGCTCTATGTGACCGATTGCAAGAATGTTTGGCTTTTGCAGCAAGCAGCCATTGCAACTCCTCTGTCAGTGGGTAGATCTGAACATCAGTGAGAGAAGGGATGAGGGTCAATGAGGGTTTGAGAAGCCTGAAGTTTGGACCATAGACTTCGAGCCTGCTGGCTCTTACCCCCACCTGCTTCGGCTTGCTATTGCCTGGGGGTCAGGTTTATCGGCCAACATGCCATCCCGTATACATACCCCTGGCTGGATTGGTGCCCGTTCAGCGTTCGGCCAGTGATCCTTGGTCCAAACCATCTGCTGTCTTCGCCTTTAAATGTTCTTCAGCACGTCGAATGGTGCGCCTGTGGAGCGGAGCCACCACAGAACACCATGTTGATCGGTGCACCATGGTTGACCGTGTCTCTGCGTATCGTAACATCCAATTGTGGGAGACAAAACCTCAAAGGGGAAAGCATTGGGTTGTCAAACTATATATGTGAACTCGCATATTTGGGTGGAGACCCATTCAAAGACCTCTGGGAAAATACAAAACAAGCTATATTATTGTATTGTTGTATATATAGTTAGGAAATCCATTCGTTCGGAGGTCCCCCATTAAAATACAAACCCGTTTGGGGGGACGGGATTCTCTATTCTGTTAAGCATGTCCGAGTTCACCACATCTCAACAAAAAGTTCATGAAGCCCAGCTGCTCGTGTGCTGCCAAACCACGTTCGACCTGGCCACGGTTGTGGGTGTTGGGTACGCGATAGACGTTCGTAGCACCACACAAAGCTCTCACATCAACTGAATCAACTGCATGTTTGTTCAAGCAAAAGAACAGCTTCTGAACAACTTCCTCCGCCCATGTTCCAGTCACTACATGTCACTAATTACTACTTTTTCTGACTCTTTCTCCAACATAAAGAAGCTCAAATTAATGGTCCCAGTGCAGAACTCAAATGCCATCGGGTTAGACAAAACTAGGCTGTACTGTAGGCACTGTAGGCTGTAGAATTTTGATGAATTTTGGACCCCAAAAGAATCCGTAGAAACATGCAACTACTACTTTGTAGATACGCACAGGACGAATTTCTGAAATCCCTCCGCGCCTTTTCCAGGCGGGTGCCGCTGTGTCGAGACACACCCGCCAAGTCCTCCACACGCCACGCTGACAAACAAGCTCGCAACTCCGACCTGGAATAATCACCCAAAACAATCAAAAACGAACATCAGAAATGAGCGGAGATTCTCTCAGGTAGCTGAGAATCTCCCCTCCACCATGAGAATGGAAGCGTTTTTTAGAACACTTTCTGAATGCCGTTGGGTGCACTGTAACACTACTACTGAGTTTTTTCTAAAACAGCAGCTGGTGGTTCGGTGTTGTTCTGCAGCTCTCATAGAACTTAAACCTGATTCTGGTGGTTTTTGCTCCGCAGTCATGAGTCATCTTCCTTCTAAAATATCTCATCCGAGTTCCTCCCTCCCAAAGTGCACTGAACAGGTTTGTCTCCTAAAAAGGGGTAAAGAACCTCCTTCTATCTCCTTCCCCAAACCTCTCCCTGCATGTCAGGACCGATCCCCGTAACAACACGACCCATCATCTATGAAAGCGGTGCTATCTTAAGAGGTCTTGTCATGTCTTATCCTATTCGCTGTGCTCGACTCTTAGCACCCAAGCACGCGGCCGCGGCGCGAAGGACCCATCGCCCGGAACACCGGACGCGTCGCGTCGAGTCCCCCGAAAGACTGACCGATCCGGGTCCCGTGGAGGGACGAGAAGCCCGGTGGACGCGTCCGGGTCCCGTGGACGGCTGTGGACGCGAAGCAAGAGGACGCAGAAAGCCGATGGACGCCGATGGAGGCCTCCGTTTCTCAATGGGAGAGATTGATTGATCAGTCCACTCGTAGCAGTTGCTTCGGGTTTTCACAGCGGCTCCGAAGGACGCTGTGGTTTGGACCGCGGTCGAATTTGTACCACGGGTGTTTTGGGATTGCTGGGCTGTTCTCCTTCTTGCAAACAGTAGTACATAGGTGCCACCTACTTTCTTGGATCGAGTATCCTTCACTCGCATGAAGCGTCCTCAAGCAACTCCAGTTGTTGCTGCTGCTCACCTTTGAGCTGTGCGAACTCTTGGCGCCATTGCGCCTGTGCCTCGCAGCAAGTGCTCAAGAGGAAATCCTACGTAGAGATCCATTCGTCTGGGGATTTTTTTCCGAAAGTTCAGTACAACTTCCAAAAACATGATGGTTCAGAGATGTTCAGTGTGTTTACTCGTGGTTTGCGGCACCAGCCGCTGATGCGTCTCGAGAAGGCAATCAAACTGGACATCATGTAGGTTGTGCAAGAGTTCGCTCAACAAAGTGTTACCACATTCAACCAATCAACCAGAATTGGCCAGGAGCCAAGCAGGCTGGCATACTAGCCGCCCAGCCGCCCAGCCGTGCATGAAACCTCAGATGTGTCATCATGTCGTAAGGAACTCATCGTAAGGAACCAAAGACGTCGCAGTATCCCGAAGAACAACGACTCCAAAGGTCACAAAAGGCATCCAAAGAACATCAATCAATATTAATATGTGTTAAATATCAATTTGTTATCATGTGTTGATATGTTTTGTAATATTCAGTAATATCTTTGATAGGTTTGTATATATCACAGAATTGAATCCTGATGTTCTCACAGAGCCACCACCCCGGGGACACAACCGCCTCAGTCAAGGCGGCGCTGACCATTCCTCTGGCCTGGTCGCGGCGCCGACACGATCTGGAGGGGAAGATGAGGTGTCTGGGGGGTACCATACCATACTTGGGTACCATCATGGTGTCTTGGGTACCATACCATACCATATCTGGGGGTACCATACCATACCATTGCCTTTTTCAGCTTCAAAAGATTCAGCTGATGATGGATACCATACTTGGGTACCGGCCACCTATAAAATGATGACAAATGGCATGGTGCATCTCAGGTGCAACCCCTCATGATCTTGTTCAATGGCTGGCTCAGAGCAGAACAGCTGTTTTAGGATCTGCTCGAAGTCGCAGTATCCAAGGGAAGCGCTTGACGAAGATGAACAACGACCAGTGGTTCAGTTCAGGAGACAAAGACAATTCGTCAAAAATGTGGACTCCTAAAGGTACAAATCAGTCAGATCACTAGGAAAATTAGGGAACCCTACACTAAAATCATCTAGAACCATCTACATTGCTCGTAAGCAACACGAGTCACACGCATGGAAACCACGGCTCCGGCCTCGCGTAGCCACGTGGCTTCGCGACCCAGCGAGCCGTCCTAGCCCGAAAATGGCTCGCTCGAACTTCCACCAGCACAGGTGTTCATGGTGTTCTGTTCATGGTTCTTTTTCTTGACAGGGTAAGGTGGTTTCAACTCACGAAACATATCAGCGGGAAAAATGCATCCCAAGCAGTTGAAAATAAACATATCATGAATCCACTACCCATTCAATCAGTAAGCTGGGCATGCACTCAAAGCAGAAGGGTCGCTACTTTCCGCCACCACGCGAACCGCGAAGGACCCGCCAACGTCCCTTGCGTAGTGATCTCCTTCCACCACTCTGCGGCGGACCAAATTCCATGGACTTTAAAACGTCCACTAAGGTTTCCACAGACATCCAGAAACGCTTTCCATCATGCAGGCTTTATAGGTTGACATGTTTCAATTGTCCCTGTCTGTTCATTGTTTCACTTCAACCTGCAAGATGGTTAAGCCACAAACGAAAGCGGGTCAGGCCACAAACCGTTGACCACTCTTTGTATGTCCCCGGGTGCCCGTTCGGATGGACTCAATGGGAAAATGCTGCTCCTCACCACGCTCCAACGCTCCCAGCCGGGCCTCCTGACGCGGCCGGTGCGCCATGGTTTGGGGGGAAACCGGGTTGAAAGTCCCCCCTGGCCACCGTGGCAAGTTCGAATCTCTCCTTTTTGCTTCCCAACGAATTTTGGGCCCGGTGTCGATTGGGTAGAGGTAGAGTAGTCTTTTGGGGTGTCTGCTCCATCCAAATATTCGGATGACTCGGGTCCTGCTTGTCTCGTTGAGTTCGTACAGTAGTCCTAATGAGGCTTCCCGTGTGAGATTTGTGAAGTTCGATGTCCCTTTGGTGCACAACCCCCCTTCTGTACCAGGCGGCGTTTCGAGGATATAACACTGTCTGCATGTTTAAAACCTGCAAAAAGAGACCAGTGTCATCCCGGGGGTCCCTTGCCACGGTGGCTCCGGGTTGCCACAACGAAATACCCCGAAGATCCCAACTGTTTCCTCCCAGGTCAAATGGACCCAGACCTCGTGAGCAAATACACTCTGACAAACACATGGAAGTGGATGTCATGGCCGCTTGGAAGACTACTTTCCTCTACAAACAGTGGGTGTTCCACTTCCATATGAGTCTGAGTTGGAGTGTAATACCCACAACGGTCGGTGACTTCTATGAAGCACCGTCGGTGACTGATGAAGGGGTTCCACCGAGGTCCTGTGGGACCTCTCGGGGAATCTTGGGGATGGTCAGGGGATGGTCTGCCCCCGGGTTACCTCTTTCCGTTTTGAACGGAGGGGACCGACCCAAAGAAAAACGTGGTCCGATCCTCACATGTGCGACCCACCTCGTGACCGCAAAAAATTAAAAGCCCGGCCCACCCAAATCCGTTTTTGGGACGGAATCCCACCAGACGGGCGTGGATCTTCTCCATCTGTTGCTCCAGCTCCTGCCGCCGCGGAGCGGAGCTCAGATCGACCGCTCGCGAGCGAGCTCCGCCCGGCAGCTCGGAGTGAGCTCGGTGACGAGCTGAAGGTTGGGATATGGCTGACTGGGAGCAAGTAGCTACAAGTAACAAGAAGCTACTAGACGAGCAACCAAAAAGATCCAAAAAGACTCCAAAGTTGGCTGTGTATGTGAGCTCCACCCTCGTCCTGGCCCCCTAATGGTCTCTGAGCATAGAACAGATTGTACATGAGAAGATCTTCCAAAGCAACGCTGTACTTAAGCGGTGCAGAAACTCCCTGCGCTACATGGTCCGATGTTCTTTGGCTCCACAGCACAACCAAAAAAGATGCAACTCCGTGCACAAACGGTTGATACCTCCTTAAAACCCAACCAGACCGGCGTTCCAACACCGCCGCTTACAGGGCACTCGTGCCCCGCCTCCTTATCCTCGTCGCAGCGCTTCTGCATCGAGGCCACCAGCACTGAGACACGCTCCGCCAATTGGGAGACCTGCCGTCCGTGAAAGTTGGGGAAGCAAAGAGGACGGCAAGCAAAGAGATGCAAAGAGATGGGTTGCTCCGCAGTCTGAATCATTGTGAATCCAAAGAACCACTCGCGACATTCTTCGCGTGGGAAGGTGCTCCATTTCGAGAAGAGTGGCTTTGTTTGCGTGCGACATTTTTCGCGTGCGTAGTCTTTGGGATGATTCTGCCATCGGCATCTGGGCCTGGCCTTTCTGAAGCAGTGCAGAGTGTTTGATCTGAAAAATCCAACTATTAAGAGGAGTCTTTTGTCAAATGGACATGAAACAACCTTGTAGGGAGTAGGGACAGTCTTCCATTGGGAAAAATGTGCTATGGTCTGAGGATGACATAGAAGCCAATTGATCACCGTCTACCCATCTGTCCGGCCAAGACCACTGCCTTGGTATCTGCTGAGCCAGCCAAAGGAATTTGAACCAAGGCCTCAGCTGTGGCCCGCAACAAACAGTTTGCTCCTTGCTTTAGTAGTTGGAAGATGAGGACTTCCTCATCTTCCTCTACCAAATGAGTCACTGCTCCCTCCCCAAGTTCCAACCACATCACCATCCACCAGTGAGATCCTGGAAAGTGAGGACTTTCTCGAGCATGTGTTTTTGTTGTTTTTGCACGTGTGTTCAGGGTGCACTTATCCACACGAACGCCCCTTCTCGAATATTCTACCCAAAAAGATCTATGACACGACACAACGACTTGGAACTTCAAACATGTTCAAACCTGGCCCAGAATGGCACTCTCACTTCGACCGCTTCGACCGATCCCAAGTGGATACCCTCGGCTCGGGAGCCCTGGCTATGCGGTGACGACCCAACCTTCCGGTCCCCAAGCGGAGTCAGGTGACTTCACCGAGCCACCTGGCCTAGAACAAATGCACCGAGGTGAGACGGACTTGTAGTGCCTGTTGTTTTTTCGTGGGGAAACTGCTACGCCTATACGGCCTATACGTGAGAAATCCTCAAAAAGGGCAAAGGTTATCCACTGACTGACACCGTTCGGTGCTGCTTTGAGGCCCTATGCCATGCCCTGGGCCCATGAACTCTTTTTGAAGCACCTGGAAGCACAATTAGCTGCCGTGCAGCTCACTTTGGAGCACCCTCAAGGCTCATCCTTCGGATGGCCAAGTCGCCAAAAACTGTTGAAAACCAACCCAAAGGTTCCAACCACTGGAGGGTCGTTGACCACTTCAGTTCAAACCTGTTTGAACCTGTGGCTTAAGCCCTTTCCAGCAATCGTTGTGATCGCTTAAACCTCGTTTCCGTTTCCGTTGTCCACCGCTTCCACTGGCGGAGCCTCTCCCTCCTTGGCCTCCGGTAAAAGGCTCCGCAGCGGCACGTCGCCGCCACTCAGTCGCAGGATCCGGCCGTCTGCCAACATCAAACGAAAGCGATGGGCTTCAATGTTTGTGAGTCCTGACGATGTGACGTCGCTGAAAAACCTGCAGTTGATGGTCTGTCTTGTGAAACTGTCGCCCAAAACTCGTGGTCATCAACGGGGTCCTTAGAGTCCTCAGGTGAATTTTGCCAGGCGGTTGGGGAAGAGCCTGAGATGTTTTCATTCAATCCCAAGTTCCACTCCATGGAACTGGAATGTATGTCACATTGACCCTTGAAACCACCTCAATATAATGTTGACCTCTGATTAGTAAATGTAACGTACCCCAAAGTTAAGTTAGACAACGCGCTGTCCTGAGTAGTAAATGTACCCTATATCACAATGTGCGACGGTCAAAACTCCTTCTGTGTGGTAAGGTCATGGGTACCGCCGCATCGCTACACACAGCGCCAGCCACTTTTTTGGTTCGCCGTTTGGTGGTGGTGGTGGTGGTGGTGGTAGTAGTAGTAGTAGCAGTAGCAGTAGCAGTAGCAGTAGGAGTAGGAGTAGGAGTAGGAGTAGTAGTAGTAGTAGTAGTAGTAGTAGTAGTAGTAGTAGTAGTAGTAGTATAGTAGTAGTAGTATAGTAGTAGTAGTATAGTAGTAGTAGTATAGTAGTAGTAGTAAGGTGGTAGTAGTAGTAGTAGTAGTAGTAGTAAGGTAGTAGTAGTAGGGTAGTAGTAAGGTAGTAGTAGTAAGGTAGTAGGTAGTAGGTAGCAGGTAGTAAGTAGTAAGTAGTAAGTAGTAGTAAGTAGTAAGTAGTAAGTAGTAAGTAGTAGAAGTAGTCTGGCAGTGTGCAAAGTGCAAACAACTTGGAAAAGTCAAGGATGTCATCTGTCATCTATCTTCCCAATTTTCTATCCGATCTAATACAATCCCATCCAATCTGATTAATCCAAGCTAGGTATCTATCGATCCTTGGGCAAGGAAACCGACTGCGGTTCACACAGCGCTGTTGGTATCGCCTCTTCAAGGGTGGCATCGTTACTCACATGTGTTTTGATGGTTTATGATACCTCAAGGCGGCTGCCCTATTAAAGTCATCATCGCATGTCTTGACCCTTGCGCAAATGTACTATATGTACTTAGACATTTCAAAAAACAAACATATTGAAAAAATGCAGCATATATTTTTTTAAAATGAATAACATTAAGTTGAAATTAGTAGTAAAATCTTAAATCTTAAACACAGTAGCAATAAACACAAACATAGCATGTGTTTAACAAAAAACAGCGATGGACCATGGAGAGACCAGGCACAGCTGGGTCAAAAGCAAAAGATCACAAAACCAGGTGTCTCAACACGGACTAGGCCCGGCTGCCAGTTAAGTTATATAGAAGCAACATGAAGCAACTTCTAGAAGCATGGCCTCTCACGGGATTCTGACCCGATGGGCCTGCAGCCCATGGGCGAGGGTATGGAACTGGCAGCACCTATGAATAACCCCCCCCTTCATGAAATATCATGAAGATCTTCTTCAATCCACAGGCGGGGGTTTCAATCAAGAGTCTCCACTCCTTGTGGTCTTGGTGGTGGGATTCTCCGTGCAATCTGCTCCGTTCCCGCTCCTGCGATCTGCTCGCACAGCGCGGCCACGGTGAGGTCCAGCCCCAACGAGCACGCGGCCAACAGCCGGCCGCCGGTGCGCACAGCAAAGGCCTCGAGCAGGTTGGGCGTCTCCCACACCCCGCCCTGGACGCAGGTTGGCAGGTTGGCAGGTTTCTTTCAGCGTTTTTTGAGTGGATTGAAGGTAGACACTTGGCAAAAATTGGGAAGGCAAAACTGGGTAAAACAAGGTGGAACCTGTCATTAAATCTGCAATGCCTTCCACAATCCTTTGAACATCCGACATCATCCGAGCCTTTCATCTTTCTTCTATACAGAACCCTTTCTTCTGTGCTCGGGTGTTGACACGCCCAAGAAACCGATAATCAGAATTTCGATACGGTAGAGGCGTTCACTTCGACACAAAACGGGCGGTCAACTCGCAAGTGGTGGCTTCAGTGGTTTCTGCAAGGAGTTGTCCAAAATTCAATCTAGTTTGGCTGGGCTTCGCAGTTTGGCAAAGGATACCCTCAGTCCCTGGATTGATGCTTCCCAACCAGCCTCAATCAACGAATTCGGACTTCCTCCGTTTTTCATCAATGATTAAGCTCCCATATCATACTCATATCATATCATCACTTCACGAACAAGTGCTTTGCATTCCCGAAGGAACAAGCAGCCCAGAGATGCTTAGGATCTCTTGCAGGTTAAATATAAGATCCATCTGGAGGAAACGCGCACGTGGAAACACGAAGTGATGAAGTGTGCCACGTGATTGCTTGGCGGATCTGATTGAAGCAATCTTTCCTGCAGTGCAGGAACCATGAGGCAACCTGGAGGTGGTTCACAACAGTCTGTAAAGCTCTGTAACATCAAGTATATTGAATATAATGTCCTTTCACGTGCGCGCACGCGTCGGTTTTACGATGGGAACTCACTTCTATGACTGATTCTCCTCGAACAAGGTTCAAGGGGATAGCAACCTCTGCGCTATAATGTTTGAGGGAGCGATCTTGTTGGCATCCTTTGACCCAATCTCGGCCAATGGCGCAACTTCCTCCTGCCCAGAACACCCCACGGCCCTCCATGCCCCACCGCACCTTGACCATGCCGACAATCTCTGGGTCAAGGCCCAAACTCAAGTGTGCCTTGAGGCTTAGGAAGTCCTCGTTGATCCATCGCTGTCGACAACCTCAGCCCAAGCTGGTTTGCAAGGCCATAACGAGGTCGTAAAGTAAGGGTGCACGTTTAATGTTAATTTGTGATGTTATTTCATTGTTTCGGAATTTTTTTTCCAACGCATTGGGATAGAGCGGGGTTCTCATTACAGTAGTACCTAGCTAATTAGAGCAATTTTGTGTCCTTAGCAGAGACACAGGTGTCGTAGCTGGCCCAATACATTAGAATAGTGCAGGTTTCATATTAATTGCTAGTTGTTTAATTTGGGAGCTGTCGTAGCTGGCAACATACATTGGAATAGTGTAGGTGTCAGAGAAATTCCTACCTATCACAACAGTTTGGTGCAGTTAGCAGAGAAACAGCAAAGAGAAAGAGAACTAGCACAGGAGGCATATTTGGTTGGTTAGAAGTTTTTGCACCGGGGAGTTCACCTTAAATATTGATTTCGTGGCAGGCGCGGGTGTCAGATGTCGGAGATGAAGTGCAGATTTCGTGGCGTCCTTTTTGAACAAATCAAGCCAATGACAGCGAGCGCCTAGTGGCTTCTGGCTTGGTCGAAGAGTCCCACGTCTTCCTCCGAGGACACCGTCTGGCTCCAAAGAACCAGGCCCGACTCGTTCAGCAGCTCCACCAAATGGCCTCGACCACCCATGCTGGGGTGAGGAATGGCCGGGTTCCTACGAAGAGGAGGAACTGAGATCTGAGGCCATTTGGTGCGAGGCTGGCCAGGCTCATATTTTTTGGAGCATGCCTTTTTGGTGAACTTGTCAGGTAGAAAGGTGCCGGACTAGAGTTGCACTGATCAGGTTCTCACTTGGAATCGATCGAAACTCTAGCCGAGGCTTGGACAAAACCACCACATGAGCCTTGGGGCTTTTCAGATCTGGAAAGAAAGAACATCCAGCAAGCAGGTTTCCAGATCCAATCCCTTCCAGAGTGAATCGGATTGAACCATTCTAGAACGACCCCAGCAAGGGTTGAGATAGATCTCTTGTGTGGTGGGAAGTGGAAACAAAAAGGATGGCTGTGCAGGCGACCCCTACATGTCGAAAACTCCTGACGCGGTACAACTCCTGCTCCACCTAGGGAGTCGATGGGAAATGCCGATTTTTTGTGTTGAACTGGACGGGGTATCTGTGTGCTCGCTGGGTGGTGCAGCAGATGGTCCAACAAGTTGAGCGTAGAAAGGTCGGCGTATGATATCGTCTTCCTGTCGCTGTGATACCCTTTCCACGTTGATCATTCTGAATTCTGCAATCTCAAGGATCAAAGATGGATTCAAACCATCCAAGGTGGATGAAACACCAGCCGTATTGGGATCCTTTCCGTCA